ACTGTATAATGGACCAAAACGACCAAGGCCGAAATGATGTATGGCCAAAACGTCTCGAAAGCAACTATATGGTTTGACCTAATGCTTACGGCATGGACATATATTAGTTATGTTATATGTTAGCTATACGTCCTTGCTTATGGTAATTGAAAAACAGCCCAAAACACAAAAAACTTAACATTCACCAATGAACCATAAAAATGAGGTCAAACCGTCAAGGTCAGATGATACCTGCCAAACAGACATATACACATTACAATCTTTCCATACACCAAATATAGTTGACCTATTGCTTATAGAACTTGAAAAACAGACCAAAACACAAAAACTTAACATTGACCAATGAACCATGAAAATGAGGTAAAGGTCAGATGAAACCTGCCAGACTGACATGTACCTATTACAATCATTCCATTCACCACATACAGTTGACCTACTGCTAATAGTATTTGAGAAACAGACCTTATCGCGTAACCCATGAAATGAGGTCAAAGTCAGGTGGACCCTGTCTGACGGATATGTGGAGGTTGCAAGGAACCCATATACAAAATATCGTTATCCTATTACTCATTATAAGTGAGAAATTCACCTGATAAAAAAAAGATAATTTTTTTTTCAAGCAGTCGCTGAACCATGAAAATGAGGTCAAACTTAATTTTTTTTTTTGAGGTAGAATTATCAAAATATTCTTAAATAAGCTGAGGACAACCCCTGGTTTGCAAATTTCAGGGGGGAAAAAATAAAGAATAGAGAAAAATATATATATTAATTAAGAATAATGGGGTGCTAAATTATAGAGAATAGAGAATAAAGGACAAACCAAATAAAGAATAGAGATAATGGTCTGTAAAATAAATAAAAAATAAACAAATTGCTTACATCCACTTTATTTTAACTTTGCTGGATAGTTGTCTCATTGGCAATCATACTACTGACATCTCCTTATTTTTATATAAATGAATAAAAAAAAGAAATAATAAAAAAAAAAGAAATAATAAAAAAAAGAAATGTATGAACCCCATCCAGACCCTCTCATATGTTAAGATCTCTTATCCCAGAATATAGACAAGATAAATTGTGACTAAATTTTAAGAGTGTTTGACATAATGTGGTACAGACATTTGTTAAAAATTGAATATTAGACCTCTAGAAGGCATATACCAGTAACATCTCACTATATAAGTTTTTCTTATAACAAAGAAAACTGCTTAGTGATGAAAAGTCTCACAAGTCCTCTGAAGTGAAGTTTCTTTCAATTATTGGTTTCAACATAGTTTTTACACACATATTGTCTTACTAATAAACAACTAAGTCCTTCTCTGTGTGGTTGTATTGGTTGGCTAAAAAAACCTAAAGCACTGTGACTAAATTGTTACTAATGAAGTTAACTATTCAGGGGGTGCCTAGCATGATCTTATCCTGACATATTTTGGATTTAGTTTATTTTCAACAATATTTTCTAGTTCATACAAATAATGAATCCAGTAACTCCACTTCTTTGTGAATCATGACCCTAGACCTGTTAGACCTATTCCATTTAAACATAATTTCTACCATCAAAGACGGACAGTTCCTTGATGAATCAGCGATAATAAATTTCTATAGACTTCTTTTTATTTTATTCATCTTTCTGTTGATTATCCTATTGTTGACAAAAGTTTTACAAATAAATTGTGCTGCGATTGTTTCTCGTTGGAAAATTACAGGTAGGTACAGAATTAACAAAGAAAATGAACTCCTAATTCACTCAATAGAAATGAATGTAAAAATAAATGGAGAATATGTCAATGAGCCACAGATGATGCCCCCGCTTGCGTATGACGTTATAAAGGGACATAACTAAAGAACTGTAAGTGACGCCACCCAAAAACGAACTTGATCTGTGTTTTATGGGGATAAGCATTGTGTATTAGTTTCTTAACATTTGGTTGAGGCTAACTAAAGTTAAGAGAATGGAAATGAAAAATTCAGCATTTTTTCCATTTATGAAGGGCACAACTCCAGAACAGTAAAATTGATGCCACCAAAATTTGAACTTGATATGAGTTTAGCGGTAATGAGCATTGTGTATAAGTTTCATAACATTTGGTTGAGGCAAACTCAAGTTAGAGAACGGAAACCAATTTCAGGATGTACGTACAGACAGACGTAGGGACAAGCGTAAACCTTAATGCCCCCCTCCCCTACGGTGGGGGCATAAGATGTGGTATTATTTCCAATATCCAACTATCCACCGGAGTTCAAATGATGTAAATGTAATCAATTATAGGGTACCATACAACCTTCAACAATGAACAAAACACATACTGTATAGTCAGCTATAAATGGCCCAGACATGACAAAATCTGAAACTTTTCAAAAGAGACAACTAAAGGCCTAATTCATAACAAAACAATTTACAAAGACCTGAACCAATGACAACCAATGAATTACATGTTCCTGTCTAGGCACATAAAAGAATGTTGCAGAGTAAAACATTGTTTTGAGCACTCAACCCTCCCCTAACCTGGGACAGTGGTTTAACAGCACAACATAAGAACAAACTGTAAAAATTAGTTGTAAATGAATAACTCAATAGATTGGTACAAAGCATGAAAAACAACAATTATTAAAACAATAGATCCAAAACACCTATATAAGATTATTCAGTTACTGGAAGCTATTTCAAAGCCAATTACAACTAATTAACAAATCAGGTTCTTCCAAGGTGTATCTTATCAATCAATACACATCCAATTGATTTAGTGTAAAGAATCATAAACAGTCTGATTAATAAATGACCTTGTGCAGCCAGTAAAGTCGACAGAGAAATGAAGTTCAGGACCTTAATATTCTTCTTATATCCAGAGAGTCAGCATTCTAAATAGAATTAAGTAACCACCTTTAGCCAAGGGGAGACAAATTAAATTTTCCACTTTTGATCTCTCTAAACAATTTGATAAGGGTAGAAGCTTTCTCATTCTACATATTTTGTTCTTAATAATTCCCTTTCTTTTGTTATTTGCCATGGCATCGTCAGATTTCCTTGGACTAATAAGATATGAATGTCCCCTTGGTATTATCTGTTTTGTATTTACACACCCTAATGATTAACGAACAACTGTATTTGAAAAGGTGCCCCTATTGATTTAGAATTTGAGTCACAAAAGTAGCTTTTGCTGAATAGAGCTATTTTATGCTTCAGATTTTGAAATCTCAGTAAAACTGTGTTTATCAGACATTCAGATTGTAATAAATGAACAATAATTTACATATGTAGTTAAAGATAGTTGTTCATTAGAAGTGAAACCCTATCCTAGCCATGTGGCAATCATAGATTTGATGGCAAACAGTAACAAATAATTTACATAAAAGTTGTCTTCAAATTTTCATTTTAACCCAGTCGATGACAACACCTAAAAAGATTTTCAACAAAAACCTTATATGGGAGGTTGTGACTGCCCATTTTATACCAGGTATTTTCTACTTCACTGCTAAACTGTCTAAAACACATACTAAAATTAAACAGTAAATAATCCCATTGGGTAATAAAATTACTGAGCTAGTTAAGAAGGTAAGTCAGCTGGAAGGCATGTCACCCTACCCAAACACTTTATTCTGACTCCAAGCCAACCAGCCTTTGCTCTTACTCCTAAATGATGTATGCTTAGCGGAGAAGCAGCAAATACCAATTTTCACATCTTTGGTTTAACCCTGCCATAGTTCAAACTGACAACCTCCATCATTTGAGGCCACCATGCTACCTAAGACAACATAGGACTGACATATGATGCTTTATTTAAATACTTTACACCCTTGCCAGGTTAGCATCCCTTTGTCTCACTCTCTTCAACAACTTGTTGCAGACGAGACAAAAATGATAAAACAACAGACATAAAAAAATAACACTACACACAATCATCAATTGGTGCTCCATTAGGGATATCATTTAAAAGATATTTAAAGGATTTTTCACATAATTTTACTAAAACTTAAGGTTCCAACATCCTTACTTTTACATCCAAGACGATTCTGGTTATCGTCTTTGTTTCATTTTATGCTTAAAATGTATTTTGTGTGTGAGGCTCGTTAAAACCTTTTATCCATGAAAAATCCTGATGTGCTGTAACACCATTGTCCTAGGTTAGGGGAGGTTTGAGCGCTCACAAACATGTTTAACCCCGCCACATTCTTTACGTGCCTGTCCCCAAGTCAGGAGCCTATAGTTCAGTGGTTGTCGTTGGTTCATGTCTGTCATATTTGTTTTTCGTAAATTGTTTTGTTATAAATTAGGCCATTAGTTTTTTCAATTGAATTGTTTCATATTTTTTATGAGTTTTTCTCATTGTTGAAGGCCATACAGTTGCCCATAATTGCTTACATCCACTTCATTTGAACTTTGGTGGATAGTTGTCTCTTTGGCAATCATACCACATCTCCTTATTTTTATATTAAGCCATAAAAGTGCTTCAATAAATGAGGGATCTGTAGTTTTATGACAATAACAGTAAAGCAAAAATACAATCACCCTCCTTATTTATTTAATAATTATATGTCTGGCAGATGTTCAGAAACTTTGATTTGAACAAGTACATATTAACTTGCATTAGAATTCTTTTTTTGCAAGATATCTCCGAGTCCTTGAAACAAAGCCGTATTACAAACCTAGCATAGAGTAGTTAGGATATTTCACTATTGAAATCATGGCAATTCATTTCTTCCTCCTTAATACTTGGCACAGTGGTAAACCAAGATGATTCTGTGAAGGCAGGTAAAATGTCATACTATGGTGAATATGTTTTCATCATCATTTGTTGGATACCAATGTTTTGGATTTTGTGTTTACAGGTGAACCACAAATTCAACTGTTCAAAAAATTACAAATTTTGTATAATGTTGTAAGCAGACTTAGGCAAAACCACCAAATCATATATCCATGAAAATGTAAGTTTTTCTCATTCCACAAAAAAATAAATGGATCCTCAGTAATTTCAGCCATATTTGTAATAAATTCAATAAAACAATATTATGTATATTTTATTGATTAACTGCTGCCAGATGAAGCAACATAACAACATAAAAATGAATTCACTAAAATATTATCTTGCTCTCATTAGAATATTCAAATCTAAGGTCAAAATTTCATACAAACAAATCTGCATGATGTGCCCATAAAAAGTCAGCCCTAATCCCATCCATTGTACTATAAAGGTCTGAACAGTCTATAAAGCTTGATAAACACCACAATAAAAAAGCTGTTTCTCGTCATTCCATGTAAAAGAAAGTATTTCATAAAAAAATCTAAGAGAGTTAATGCATTTCAAGAAAATTTTGTATTGGGGAAGTTGGAAGGCACTATAAAATTAATAATAAATGTATTGTGGAGTTTTAAATGAAATGGAATTTACGTTACCATATTTTCAGATTTCTAATAAAACTTACATGGATGGTCGATGTAAAAGTGTCCCAGAATAGCAACAGGGCATTTTACTTCTATGGGCATCTACAAAAGCAGTTTTTCATATTAACCAGTTTAATTATCACAGCAGCCATGTTTGATGTGCAATATCAGAAAAAACTTGTAATAATTTCTTATCATTATCTGATATCATTCTGAAGCTAAGACATATAATAGCAAACAACTGTAACAAACAATCAGAAACTTATAGATCTAAACAGCCAGTCTTTGTACAACATCTGTACAAAGCCAAAACAAAAAAATATTCTGGTATACAAAACAATGTATGTAGAAGGAAAACCAAAACAAATGAATAGAATAAAGACAGATCTAAATATCTTCAAGAGACTACAATGTATAACTTACTTGTCCATTAACTGACATACCGGTATATGTCTTACTACCTCAAATTGATTTCTTTTTAGCTTAGGTAACCATTTTAAAATTGGGTCTGATTGTAAAGTTAAATTCTTCAAAACTTTCTCCACACCAACTGACTGTATATTGAGAAATGAGAATGATTTTTGTAAATTTTAAACTTCATGAATTCTAATCAAAGTAATGAAAATATAGAAGCACTTCTTGCAAAAAACATGTTATCCTATTAGATTTAAACTTACAAAATCTTCAATTGAAATGTTCCCATTTACAGTCAATAGAAATATAGCATATATCTGAATAACAAAATATGATTAATTGTAAATAGGATTGATTTTATCTTGGTGGATTATCCTATTGTTTACCATGTATCTATGATGGCACATACTTCAAAATGGGAACCAGTTTTCATATGATGTGAAAATTTATAACAAAAATTATTCTAACCATTACAGATATTGTAATATGAGGACCAATTGTAAATATTAAAATGATATTATAAAGATGTTATAGCATATTTCATGTCAGAGAGTACAAAATTATTTTCTTACTTGATTAAACTAAAATTGTTTCCAAAATTTATTTTACAATAATAACATCTAAAATGATTACTACATGTATTTGATAATAAGATATACTAATTGTCTTGTTTGACATTACAGATTCAAATAACTGTATATAGTACAACCAAAGAAAATGAAAAAATCTATCATTCTACTTATAAGATTACAATAAAAAAGATGAATAGTTCATGTTTATTTTTAGATTTCTTTAATGAAAAGTGTATATATAAAACACAACTCATGAATATGGAATAACCTTCTGCATGAAACTTATCTAAATCACCAAATTATAAAGTAATACTATATATATTGATTTAAGTAGAAAATGAACATGAAACACAAGCAGTATAAATCTAACTTAAAAACACCATTTAAGCTGGTTGTACAATAGACTTACAAAAATTGTTAATCAAAAAGCATAGTACAGCTGTATTTAATTCATATGTTTTAAATATTACTAAATTCAGGAAATAATGACAAAGGTTATTGTTACATAGTGAAAAAATGCTGAAGCGTAATTCTTACCTTTCAATAATACACAATATGAATAGTGGTTTAAAGTTTTTTTAGAAATGGACAAAGCAGTTAAGGAAAGCAGTTATAAGAAGAATGATATAAAATAAAGTAGATTATCTCCCCCTTATTCACATATTGTATTATGGGCAGATACTTGGTATAAACTTGACAGCCTTTTTCATTTGCTATGTCAGTTCTGAAACATCTTTGCAGTGTCTTTAAATCAACCTTAGATACTCCCTCAAATAAAAAAACAAGAGTCATCAACTAAAATTAATAAACTACAAATGTAGTATATATATGATTTATTGACACAGTATGTGAGTAAAAAAAACCAACATCTAAATCAAATTTTTTTTTTCAATACATGAGGATCTACATGGAATGTAACTTCTGTTCATACGAATGTGATAAAAAGCCAATGTTGCTTATTTTCATACCCCTAATGGCCTATACTGGATTTCTTTTGTTATACACTTCTACTACATGTACATAACATATAATTGATGGCTGTTTCATAACCTTTAAATTACAATTTTTTTAATTCATTAAACATAATATGAAATGTTACCACTAATACAGATATAGAACAGAAACAATATCTTCATAAATATTACTCCATTAATTTGACCTGACCTAATAGGCTTATCATGCTTATTGGCTGATGACATTTATGAAAATTTGGCAAACAAAAAGTAAATAGCATTACTGATTTCTAATCATCTAATTCTCATAAATAAAGGAATGTTTCACAATGTGAGTATTACTTCAAAGATTTCCTTTTTTAAAAGCAGAATGTAACTAATTTTAGCCCTGCTCAATTAGGTTAAACTCATGGAGTAATACTTGAAACAGGCATGTTTGTCAGATCTGCTGTTACTTAATCACAGATAAATATAAAGTACATATATATCATTTGCATTTGATTTTTTTTACTTATAAACCAAGAAGTCTGATTTCATATATAATAAGGACGAATTAAATATATGGGAGGCACATTGCTTAGACCCCATCCCCCATAATAGGAATTTTTTTTATTTTACTTATTTCTACTACAAAATTCAAATAAAAACCTTCAATTATCTAATAAGTGTGTCCCCCCCCCCCCCCACATTACTAAATTTTGGAACAGCCAAAAATATATGTTATTGATTTTCTGAAATTATCATTCAGAATTTGAAAAAGTGTGACAAATATAAAACATTTAATGGAATAATAAGAATTTCATGATGACCATAATTATTAAAATGTTGTATTTATAGTCTCAGACCCTTTTGAATGTTGAAAATTTCTCACTGTACTTACATGTATACAAATATAAGTCTTAGATCCACATTTGTGTTTGTTTCTACTTCTAGTTTTCACATGTAACTATAAACAAGATTGACTTTACTGCTACACATTTTCTTTGGAATATTTCATGGTTAAAAGTAACTGAAAAATCAACGTTAATTTTTCTTAAACTTTTACAATGTTGAAGGCTTCAATATTGGGACTACATTTTGCATTTACAGATTTCAAATGAAAAATAAATAAATGTTGCTTTTAATAACATAAGCTTTGCAAAAAAAAATGAATTGAGCCTGAATACAACAAATAGACAGACTGATTCAGAAATCAATGTAATTAAATTTGTTTTTGAAATTTAACAAATAACTTACACTTAACAACTTGCTTTAAATTTTTTATTATTATCTTTTATATATCTTTATTCAAATGATATTGCTCTGACTTCAGACTTTCTAGTCCCTACAGATATTCATTTCTGAACCAGCCTTAAACAAAATCAGCTATTATCCAAAGGCAACATATTTTGTACTGAACTCCAGTTCAAAGCAGATAGATCAACCGGCAACACATCTGCATCATCCACCATGTTAGCATCAATGGGATACTCAGCTAGAAACTTTGATAGATTATATGAATTGTCATTGTTACTAATCTTAATTGGTGTTAGACCAATGAAATTCAAATCTAATTTTGGCGAAGAACTGGAAGATGATGATGGGGACTTTTTTGTCATCATTTGTGGGGAACCTCTCAAACATTCTAGGAAGCTATTATCCAAAATATTTTCATTTTTTAAAGGTGTAAGTCCTGAGAAAGGTGAAGGCATCTGAGGTAAGAATCCTGAGTTTTTAAGAGGAGTAGAGGTTATTGCACTTGATTCATCACATTCATCACATTTCTCAACATTTTCATCTAGTAATTTCCGCATCGGAGTTGGAAGTTCTTCTTCTAATCGTGACACAAACTTTGCATATTCAGTTTCTTCATCTGAACTATCTTGCATTAATTCACGTTCTTTGGGAACTAACTTCTGCTTGCGTCTAGATCTAGTTCGTCTAACAGGTTGAGAATCTTTGGAATATAGTTTTGGTTGAGGCAAGCCTGTTCTGGCTCTTTTGGCACATGTTTCATTGTCACTTTTAATACTTTCACCTTGACCTTCAGCCTCACTACTGCTCAGGGCCTGAGAATCAAGCCATGCCTGTTTCACTATGTTTGGTGGGGACAGAAGTAATGAAGGAGACAATTTTGGAGCAATCTTTCTGGTTTTATTGCCTTTCTTTGAATCTGATTGAGAATCTGAAACAGATTTAAAAAAAATTCTATGATAAACAATTTCCCTTTTCCTTTGGTTAAAAATAGCAAAACAATATGAGATTTACTTCATCCAAACAAAAAAGATGGCTAAGTATATTTGAAGATGAAAATTAAGGTCTGTTAAGAAGTAAATATGGATGCTTTAACAGTCAGGGACATTACTGAAACAAATTATGTTAATTTATCTACATATGGTTATAAGAAAAAAATAAGAACAATTTTTAAGAAGAGTTAACTTAAATTGCAATATAAGCCTGAACTACATGCATTTTTTTTATGAATTTTTTAAATTATCTTATGACATATAATTAAGAATTAACAAGTAGAACTGAGAGCTATTGCTCACCAATGATATCCCTGCTTTCTGAATGTGTACTTTATGTCATAAATTTGTTGGTGATGAATTTCATGTTTTGTTTGTATGTCAACATGATTCTATTGTTAATTATAGAAACCAATACTTACCTAGATACTATACTATTAATTCGCAATACATTAAAATGGAAGGATTATTGTCCATATGTAATATGGAAGTCTACAAACGACTTTCAATTTTTATTAAGAAAATTGCTTGTTTATTCTAAAATATTTGCAATTGTATTTCTATGTGTTTAAATAGTACTGCATGCTCATTTTGTCATTTAATTGTTTATGTATTATACTTTGACCTCATGTTACACACTTATGTGTCTGAGCGTTATCAATAAATCTTGTAAAATCTTGTAAATCTTGTATTCATTAAATAGAATTATTCAGAAAATGCATTTCCAAGGAAGAAAAAGACATGTGAGAAACACATCTTAACAAACACTTTTTTGTTCTTTAAAATAAGCATGGTTCCAACATATGTCCCACATGTATTCCTTCACAATTACACAATATCATAAAACAAATTAGAAAAAAATCGCAATACAAGAAGCTTTACAAAGAAAAACAAAGCTAACAAAGATTAAAAAAAAAAAAATGTAAATTCAAATTTCAGTAAATGTTTTTAAAAAGCTGTTACTCTGAGTTGCTTTAATTCAAGAGGTTATAATTTACATGAGTTTTAAGTTAAAAGGATCTAGTTAATCACAAATTTACTTTTTCATAAATATTCTGTAATCTTGTATTTAGAATTAAGTACAAAGCTAAATTGGCTCTGAAAAATGAGTTGTATTTGAAACTTTCCTAATTTACAGAAATAAAAGTTGATTCACTGTACTATGATAAAGCACTAAGGTTTCAGTTTATACTATATAGGCCAAACAAAAATATATGTCTGTTTAAGGTTACATACTTTAAAAAAATAGGTGTAGGTAGGTCGGTATTTTCATTTTATTTTATTTTTTGTGATATGATTTTGAGTCATGCAGTTTCGACTTGTCGTGGAACGAGTTGATCATGGGCCGAGTTTACCCGTATTTTTGATGATTGGATTATTTCCCTTGGAAAAAAATGGCGGCAAAGTGTTTATTTCATCATACGAGTTGCGAATTTCCTTAAAACAGCTGTCATATTCACGATTGTGAACATTGGGATGTATCAGGCAATTGATTTATATCATTTGCAATACTAACTTCGCTTTTGACACGAGTTTAGTTTATTTTTCACTTTACGACGGAAATAAAATGACTTAGGGTCAGCGCTCAAAAGTAGGGTAGGTCGGGTAACCGTAAACAGACATATATTTTTTTTTGGCCTTACCATTCTTTGGTAATACAGCCATAAATAGTCATAAACAAATAAGATGATGAATTTGTAAAACATTGTGACATTTGATGCACAGCTGCTAAGAAAAAACATATTATTCTGTACTAATTAAGCCAAAATATTCATGAAGTTTGCCTTTTTTTGTTGCTAAAATTAGGTAAATCGCCATTATTACATCACTTCAATGACATCGCAATCAAATTTCTTCATCAAGACAAAGCTATTAAAATCATTTTTCATAAAGGACTACATTTAGCAGGTTAAAATATACCCAATTATGATATCATCAAATCATTTTATTTTCAGTCAATTAACAGGGCCAAATAAGCCCCAAATTAAATATCTGTCATTTTTTTCTTCCTAATTATCAATTAAAATAAATGCATCAAGGGTACATTATTACGGTAGCCAGAAATTTTATTTGAACAACAAATCTTGTATCATATGGTCTAATATGACTAATAAATATTTTATACTTTCACTAGACGTAGACTCCTGAGAACTTGTCAGAGGAAGATTTTGATTCTGTGCTGTAGAATTAGGTACATTTTGTATTGGTATCAGGGCATAGGTCTGTAGAGGTCCATTACCAAGAGGTGACGGTCGAGGTAATATTGGTTGTGGTCCAGCTGTCAATACAAAAGAACAAGATCAATTTTAGGGAAAAGAAATCTTCAATTAAACATACTGTCTGCTGTAAAGCATTACTTATTAGTAGTGTTTTTGATTGTTTTATCTAATAATAAGAAACAAATATATAGTATTAACAATATATGGCAAAATAAACATCTAATCAACAATTAAATTGATGAGAAAAGATAACAAGAGCTTTTTAATCTGGATTATCTGAAATGGCAAGCTCTTCTCATTCAGAACTAGGTGTAAGGCATACACATTTTTAACCTGTAACTTGTATATTTTCCATAAATTAGCTGTTGAATTCCAGTCCATTAGTCAAGCACTGACAATGCCTGACATTAGAGCTCACTGACAGTTTTAGCAAAGTTCCTGTGTTTTGTTATTTCATACAGATGACAGAGTTCATGTTCCCTTTACTTATCAGTAATTTCATTACATTAATTAGAACAATATTTTGATACATACTCTCTAAATAATAGTAATTTCAATGCTAATATAATCATATGAAAAATTCAATTATCACTCAATTATCAATCTTGTATTTTTGTCCATTGTTTAACAATCACCTCCTTGTGGTCTCGTTGTAGCGTTTTTGCCTCAGTGCGGGAGGTCCTGGGTTCGAACCCCTACCGGGTTAAACCATGGACTTTAAAATTGGTTATTGCTGCTTTTCCGCTGAGCATGCAGCATTAAGGGCATACGATACAGTTACAGGGGAGGTAATGACGTCGCCAACGTAATATGTTATTTTTTGCGACGTCAAACTGTGACATATCGCAAAAAGATGCATTTTTCGACTGATTTTTATCATTCAGACTGAGTTAACTTGAAAACTAGTTCATGGACCCCTCCTTTTAAAAATGATGAAGATTATTTGTGCCAATTTTTACAAATTTGTGAACAAATCACGAATGAAATTTTTTAAAATTAGATAAATATACAGACAAAAATGCCGTTTTATTTTTACTAAAATCATGAAAATAATATGATAAAAATGAATTATTTCCAAAGAATTGTTACACAAACTCAAAACCTACATATGTAGAGAAGATATTCCAGCTGTTTTTACAAAACTCCTCTTTCGTTTTATCTTTTGAAACAAAAAAGTTAAGTATGTCTTTCCATTGGATAGAAATGTGCAAGAAACCGAAATGTCCAGTAAATGTCTAAGATTTCTACCCCATTTATCTCTAAAAATAGCACATGAAGGTATATTCTTTATTACATATTTCAATTGACTAGGTGAAAAATAGCTCGTATGCAATCCTTCGTCAAAAATTCACCGTGGGATCAAAACTGTATCATATGCCCTTAAGGAGTAAGAGCAAAGACAGGTCGGCTCGAAGTCAGAATAATGTGTCTGGGTAAGGTGACATGTCTTCCTGCAGACTGTTACCTTGTGAACTAGCACGTTAAAAATCTGGCTCAGCGTGTTGGTCTAGTACAAAGCAGGGTTAATATTCATATTACATTAACATGTTCTCGTCCTGAATATGCATATTAAGGTAGATGGGGTGTCTAAATTATAATCCATAGAATTTTTTAATAATTTGCCAAAATGTAGTTTATACCAAGCTTTTTAAAAAAAATAATAAAAAGAATGGGTCACGGGGCTTATTTTCACGCTACAGGTTGTACAAAATTGACAGATTTTGTATAGATTATGCATGGAAAACCCAATTTTCTGCCATAAAACGAAAACTACACCATAGAATTTTGAGATAAAATATGAGAAGATAGCTCTATTTTTATGCTTACAGATAAGAAAAAGAAAAAATGGGGTCACGGGACCCGTTTTCTTGCTACATAATAAAATAGGTAAATTCCTAACACATTCTATTGTAAAAGTAACTTTATCTGAATTATCTGCCCTTACATTTGAGTTGCCTCCCCTTATGTGGCAAAGTTGGAAAAAATTGAATCAAACAAAAGTATTCTGTTTTTTGTAAAATACAACCATAAATATGATAAAACATGTCATTTTCTATATTGAAATGAAAATTCTTACACATGAATTAACTACTATTCTCAAAATTTTCACATTTTCTTAAAGATCTAGACCGATTGTTTTCTGGTATTTCAAAATCCAAGATGGAGGAAGACACCCTATCTACCTAAATTTGCCACTGGACGTTCAGCAGCCATCCATCATCATCCTCTAGTGTTCAACAACCTAAATAATAATGCATACACAAAATTTTTCAGAATTTACAGTACAACTTCCATACCTCGTTTTCTAGCCTGAGTTCCTGTACAAGTTGTGGAAGCAGTAGACTGTGGTATATATGATGGAATCACCGGTATCATTCCATTAAAGGGAAGGGGAGAATCTGATTTGACCTCATCTACAAGAAATATCATACAAAAATTAAGAGATAAATTACAAATCTTATAATTTGAAACACTTCTTACTGTGAAGATTATATAATTCATATAAATTTCAAGATTTTACTATTTTATTTCATAAAGACTTCTTAATGTATTATTTTTTTTCCCTACACAGAATCATTCTCTTTGGTTTTTATTGGACATGTTTTTCTTTGGTTATTTGTGACGTTGTGTTGCTGTCTTATTGAGTCATTGATGCATACACAACATCTCCTTTGATCCATATTTAGGTCAGTTGCCACTATTGACCTTTTTTTCATATAGTTTTACAAATGTCAAATCATTCTAGCCTTCCAGAATAAAAAGTTATTTGCAAATTTTTGTCATATCTGTCTAATTTTGAGCTCAGATTTGGTAAGTATTTGTATATCTTTCACTCAAATGAAGAAACCCTTTAAAAAACACCACTAAGGCTCATAAAAAGGATAATAACAGCTTATGTTAGGCTTTTTAATTATACCAAGTGCTTTCAATAGAACGTAGCTGGCAATTTTCACCCTCTATACTGTAGATCCCTGATGCCTACTTTGGATAAAAACGAATACATAAATGTCCTATATTTTTTTATTTTAATTTGGTAAAAGGAGTTCTGGATCATGTCATTGGTCGCTGATTAGTTTATTTTTATTGTTGCATTTAATTTCCTGGAAAGTAGCAGTAGATAAATTGTTGAGCTCCAACACAGCTGAAACAGGCACACAATAAATGCAAGAAAATGGGATGCATGTTAAATCCTTCCAAGATAAATTTAGTTCACCACTTTTGACTGGTTCAGAGATAATGATATGAACCAACTTCTAATTTTAAGCATGACTAAACGAAAAACATGGGCATTAGGGGAATCCCACCCTCTGGGTGAAATAAAAAGCAACACAAGGTGATCAATTGGAAATAAATGTTTAATATTCAACAATTTTTTCTATTGATAATGACTAACTTAGTGACAATGGAATGCTGCAGAATTGTCTAAATTCAAATGACCCACGGCAACATGATGGCTTTGGCCCACTACCACAGGCCACGATGACATCTGTTCAGAGCAATAACACATGAAAAATGACTTCTTTTTGTGTTGTTCGGTGTAGTGTCTAGTTTAGCATTCCTTTAACTTGGTCATCCGCAGTATGATGTTTTAAGTGTTTCTATATGTAATTGTCTATAACATAGCTACTTCATTTTGAAAATTTGTACTCTGATTAGCACAAAGCCTGGGTACTAAAAACTACTCCTGTTACAAGTCACCCTACAGTATATACATGTATGTCGACCTAAAAATCTTTTTTTAAGTGCAGGTAGAATTTAGGATTGTTTTGTCAGGTTTCAAACAATTGCAGCTTGTCAGTTGTTGTCTGCACATTTTCTTAAACAGCTTAATATAAAAAAAATATATGTGGAATCTTTTAGTTCACAAAAAGGGTCTTCAAAACTTGAAAATGAGTGCCAGGATATGCCCAGATTGCAGGATATACCCCAGAGTTTCTGGTGCCCCAGACCACCAGCTATCATATCACCTGGCTATGCAAAGTGCAAGTTGACACAGTTATCCACCTCCATTTTTAAATTCTCAATCTTCTCATAAAAAATTTTGACAGCAGTGTATACAAAGTATTTAAATGTATCCATGGTGACATAAATCAGCCAAACACAATAAATAACTGTTAGTTCAAACCTTTTTTGGTATCTCGTACAGGACAAGACTTTAATTTCTCTGGACAATCATCTCTTACAGTCCAGTATGAACCATGTTTCTTATTGGTTTCTCTTTCAAAAATACTATACAATGACAAATTATGTCTGATAGAATTCTGAAAAATGTATTATATAATTAGAGATAGTGTATTCACATGGACAATATATATTAACACAAGAAGGAAAAAAAGTGTTCTCCATTCATGACTAACCAACATGTGACCATGAACAATGTGTTAAACTTTCAACTACACAAAAACTTATTGTTTGATATAAATCAAAGACAACATAAATTCAATAATAAGACCACAAATTTTATAAATTATAGGTATTTTCCTTTCCAGCATCATTAATATGTTAAACAAAATATACCTAGTGTTTAATTTTCCCAGAAGTACAAACATGTGACAAACCAAGAGTCTAGAAATTTTTGCACCCAATTTGGGTTATTTTTTTCACATTAGAAAGCCGGAATCTTTTTTAATTTCAAACTGTTTAACCCCACCACATTCTATATGTGCCTGTCCCAGATCAGGAGCCTGATATTCAGTGGTCATTTTTCATGTTGTGCCTATTATAGCTTGCTATGCGGTATAGGTTTTGTTCATTGTGCTGTACAGAGACCTATGGCTGCTAACTTCTACATCATTTGATCACTGGTGAAAAGTGGTAGCATTGGCAATCAAACCAAATCTTCTTATTCTTATATTAAAGTAGAATAGATAGGGAAGACAAACTTTTTTCTTGTTTGGTCTTATGCAATGTTCTACATTTCTGTTAAATCAAAACTCTTTAATGACCTTGTAATTTTCAAACAGCCAACAGTTTAAATGTGCTCTCTAAAATAAATAGTCAAGTCTAAAATCCTGACTGGTGTAAAAAAAAAAATTTCATTTACTAATATTGGTATTATTTTAGTAGGTTTTTTCTGGATGAATTGGATTTTGAATTAACCTGTAGAAAAGTAATATTCACTGTGCTAAATATCATATACTTTTACATGTAAATTATGGCAAAATGTTTGTTTACAATGTAAATATTTGTCGTTATTGTTTTCTCTCTGATTATAGAATAAAACTATTACAGTCTTTTTTTCCGGTAAATTTGTGGTTTTAATAGACTTGTGAAAAATTGATATTTAATTAAGAATTGATTTCAATTGAATGCTTCTTTTTATAATTTTATTGGTATGTAAAAATGTTGACCGAAACACAACGTGTATGAACTGTGGAAAATACCATAATTGCATCAAAGCTTTTACAACCCTATAAAATTATAAAAAGAAGCAAACAATTCTTATAATTAAATTTCTATGTTACAACCATGAAATTATGAGTTATGTTAAGCTTTTGTTTGTTTTTCTATGCATTTTAACATTGTCACGAATAGCACTTGCAGTCATAGCTGTTGTATTTGATACGGAAATAAGTATAATTTTTAAATGCCTCCCGATTGTCGATAGTAAATCAAAATTACAGATTCTAATGAAACATACGATATAAGTAACTGTGAGTACTCTCAAATCATACGTTCTTGTTTATTTGACCTGTTGATACTAATTGTAATGCTTTTTTGTTATCTAATGTTATTCAGGGTTATATCTGGTCTATATACCAGCTTTGATAAGTGTTTGGTATTACTTTAAATTTTACTTCTTCGTACTATGAACATCAAAATTATTTATTTAGAAAAAAATATTTCCTTTCTCTATTTGAACTGTACACGTATACCTAACAACAAAATTATTTTCATTTACCTGTGTTTAAAGTAATTGCAAATGGCTGATATTTTTGTTCAAGCATATTGTTTTTCTTAAATTGTTTAACATTTCACAGCGGTATAACATGTTACTTTGATTATTCTTCCCTTAGTTTATCTATTTTGTATTATATCATAGATCAAATTTATTTGTTCAGTGTATGTTCACTGGTGTTAATATATCTTTTGAGTTAAGCCATTTCAATTGATATTTTATAGTGTGTCTTTCTATGTTGTGATGTTACACTATTGTTTCAGATAAGGGTGAATTTTTGGTACCATTAAGATGTTTAAACCCGCTGCAATTGTTTGCACCTGTCTTAAGTCAGGAATCTGTTGTCGTTTGTTGATGTGGTTCATAAGTGTTTCTCGTTTTTTATATAGATTAGGCCGTTGGTTTTCCCATTTGAATGGTTTTACACTAGTAATTTTTGGGGCCCTTTTTAGCTGCGGTTCGGTGTGAGCCAAGGCTCCGTGTTGAAGACCGTCTTGGAGAGTTGTCTCATTGGCACTCATACCACATCTTCTTATATCTATATAAGGTAATTATGCAATTGTATAATATTCTTGAATGACCACTTCAAGATTTCATACTTTAATATTTTCAACAAAGCTTAATTGTTTATCAACTGACAATTCCTTGAGATGAAGCTTTTAATTCTTTTTAATGTTGAAAGACTTAAATTTGAAGACCTACCCTCCAACCAGGTTTGGCAGTGTACTTGTAATATGGAAATGTACTTTCTATCCAAGCATATATTTCTATATACCGTAGAAAGGCTTGTATAGTCCGCGGTTTTATTCTCCAAAATTGGACCTTCCAGACGGGGTGCGGACTATAGAGTACAATAAGCAAGAAATAAGAGAAAAATTTCAATTTCGCGGGCGAGGTGGTTTGTTTACGTTCCGCCATCTTTGTTATTTAAATTGTAGAGGGCGCTCTTATCATTTTTCAAACTAATAATTTTAACTCATCCATATTAATAGGTTATTTCTATTCAATATCAAATTAATACTGATAAATATAAAAACTAAACCTTTCATTACAAATTTCTCGTTTCTTTTCAATGCATTGGTTGAAAAAAACTGGTATCTGCTTGATTGAAACGATACAAACATAGTGAAAAAGACAACCGTAAACCAGCTTAGAATTTGTAAACTACAAAACGTAATCGGTTATTGTTCGTTCCGTTTTGGTGTTTCATACTGACTAATATGGTTTGTATTAGCTTAAGACCCTTCAAACATTAATGTGATAGATATATTAAAGACTGTTTTACAAAAGGATGGAACTGTTTTACTTTCAAAGTCGTATTATAGTGATATCTGTTATGTACGGATTTCGACTCTCACCGGTTAGTTTCTTCTTTTACACGTGCTTTTTAAACTTCCTGTTTAAACATACACAAGTTTCTAAATTGTTTTTTAAGTGAATAAAACTTATTTTAACAATCATGAAGCGTTCTAGAATCATTTACAAGCAGTTTCAGCTTCTGTTTGATGATGGAAAACAGGTTTTCCCAAGAAAATACCGCAAACGACCGCACAGGATTTGAAATTACCGGAGTTTCACTAGACCTTTTCTAACAGTTACAAAAAGTTTTTTTACCTAAAATTTCGTGGGGAGAAGGGGGTGCGGACTATGTACCAGTGCGAACTATACAAGCCTTTCTACGGTAAGGTAATTATGCAATTGTATAATATTCTTGAATGACCACTTCAAGATTTCATACTTTAATATTTTCAACAAAGCTTAATTGTTTATCAACTGACAATTCCTTGAGATGAAGCTTTTAATTCTTTTTAATGTTGAAAGACTAAATTTGAAGACCTACCCTCCAACCAGGTTTGGCAGTGTACTTGTAATATGGAAATGTACTTTCTATCCAAGCACATATGTCTCTTAATCTCATTCTTTTGTCTTCTTTACTGTGCAGAGCCATTTGTATCAAGGTCATGTAAGAAAATGGTGGTCTTTTCTTTCTACCACATTCTGCAGCAATCTGTAAAGATATATTATGTATTATACATGTAAAACGAAATAATTAATTTTATTACTCATCTTTCAGAAGGATGTTGATAATTATTTTAATATTTGCACATATTTCATGGTGAAATAAAAATTCACAGGGAAATCTTTGAAATCACTGACAGGTTAATTTGCTTGAAATTTTAAAATAACATACAGTGGACTATTTTGCAGCTCTTTAATTTTCAAAAATGTTTAAAGCTTTGAAAATATATGTCTTTTTTTCATGTTTATTTGAGTGTTTTGGCTATAAAGGATGTGTTATTTGTTTTGGGCTTTATCATTTCTGACTTTTCCCTACAGCTAGGCCACCATTAACAAATTCTTTGTTTGATGTTGCCTACCCATGCCTTTTAGGGTTAGGTAAGTAGGTTGGGATTGTATTTTTTTAGGCCAACAACATTAGTTACATGTTTTAGACAAGAAAACGACATTAGAGCATGAAAAAACTTGATTTGTCATAAAAATTTTCGTAGGCAACTTCAAACAATGTCAATTTTATTTTTTGCCCTACTTAGCATTAATAAATTACCCGCAAAATATCATCAGTACTCATTCTTTTCCATTGAACAGGTGTAGTACTATGGACTGACTTCGATGGATCAGGCTTGTCTGCCTTAGTTGGATTCTTCAACTGTATACCACCCAACCACTGGATGTTAGTTAATGATGTATCTAATACCTCTACAAAAAATCCTGATCTTTATAAATGTACATGCAGTTAAATCAAAGATAATATCAAAAACTAAGTTGAACACCTTTTAAAAATAAAAATCAAAATATGTATTACACAACCGATTCATATTTCCGCATAAACATGATAGATTAGAATAAACTAAAAATGAAAAATTCATTACCAGCTACTTTTTTTTTATCTAGAACATAAATATGATTTCACAAAGTACTGTTTTCAAGTCTTTTGACAGTCTATAAAGAAGAACCAATGACAATTTATTATTTAATGTGTTACAAACTTTGATTGAACCATACACAATGTGTTTAGAGTTCCTCACTTCCTGTGTGTAATTTGATGATAACATGGTTATAGAGCTACAATATGATCATTGGCTGATCAATAATTTTTATGGGTTCAATAAAATTTCTATATCTGTGAAAATCGTAACTTTTCTTGTCTTCACTCAATTGAAAAGATATCTTTAAAATTTGATATGGCCCACTGTCTATCACATCTACCATGTCTACGGCTAACAAAAAAAAGTGCCTCAGCAACATTTTTTGTGACCAACCTTACTTTTTTCCAGAAAAAAATACATAAATAAAAAATAAGTAATTTTCACTGTGTGTAGAATTACTAGAATAAAAGCTTCCTCCAAGTTATCTCAAAATTGTCTGGGTCTAATTAGTGCTATTTGTAAAAAGTGTTTCAGTGACCATGTATGATAATAAACAAAAGGCTGGCTTATATAACTAGTGTGCTCGCAGTTCTGTTGATGAAATCTAACCAATGTTACCATAAACCTGATATACAAATATCCATGACAGTTTCACACTCAAAAGATAAGTATCTCTCAGAAGAGTCGCAAAATCCTCAAAATATAAAAATTACCGTAACTTGACAAACCTTTTTCCATAGGAACAGCAGCAGAATCATTAGATTCTTGAGAATTAGTAAAACCAAATGCTTCAGGGGATTTCACAAAACCACCGGAATCATGGGAATAAATGTCATCTGTTTCCTGTTTAATACATGGAGGCAACATTTCTGAAGATCTTGGGTTTATTGATTCTTGAGAGTCAGACATTGGAAGATGTCCAATGGTATAATTAGATGAGTCTCCTTGTTGTACCATTACAACAGTTTCTTTCTGTTTTACGTCACAATGAATGACAACTTCTCCAATTTTTGATGTCTGGGTTTTTGGTTTTTGCATTTCTTTAAGAACTTCATTAATACTCTGTTGGACTTCTGCTGCAGTTTTGTTGACATTTGGTAGTGAAAGATCTAATGGTTTTTTATTGGGTGCTTGTATGACTATACGATTTTCAACTTGCTCCCACTGGAATGGAGTTGATGACCGAGATGTGCTTTCTAATGAGATTGATGACAGTGGTCTGTTACTTTCATCATGTTCCAAACTTACAAATTTTTCCTGTGGATTTTCTGGTAAGGAAAAAGCATCTGCTCCAGTAAATTTCTTAGTAGAAAACACTGTAGGTGACTGTATTCTTGCAGAATTATGGAGGCCTGCTGCTAAAGAAGACATAGGTGAAATGTTAGAATATTGAGGTAAAACATTTCTTCCTTCTAAAGAAACTGAGGATGGAACCAGTATAATTTGCCTAGCTGCTGGATGTTGAAATCCCTGTTCTGGTGTTGGAAGAGGGCTTGGAGTGTTGAATTGTGAATATATACCACTACTGCCACCACTGAAGTAGCCTGAAGACCCTGATAAATTAAATTTTGAGGACAAAGGTGTTGAGAAGGAAGGAGGAATAACCATGTAACCTGCAATTGGTTCACTAGTCCTTGTACGGTGTATTTCTTCATAACCTTCATCAATTTCTTGTTTAACTGTACACTTATCAATTTCAATATCAATATCATCATCACTAAAAACTTTGACAGCTGTCTTAGAGCTGTCATATTCTTCAAATTCTAAGTTTGAAAAGTTGATTTTGACATCCTCAGTTGAGGTAGATTTAGATCTTGAAAGTTTCTGAAATGACGAGGAATCATTTTCCTGTTTAATATTCGTTTCATTTAGTATTCTGGAGGATGTTTTCAAAACACTGTTCCGATCAGAATTTGACAACCCAGATGAACTGTCTACTGTTTCATTGGTGTCAAACACAACAACATATGCATTTCTTCCTCGATCTTTAATCACTTTCTCTGCTAATTGCTGTGGTAATGGGTACACAGTTTTCTTAGCTGTAGCCTGTGGGAAATGAGGTCCTACAAGATGTCTTCCATGGTTGGATGACATCGTCCTGAAAAGTCCTCTGATGCATTACCTGAAAGCAAATTTAAAGTAACAATAATATATTTATATAAATGAATTTGCCAATGTTCCACACACATATGAATATATTGTAAATACTGATGAAAATGGAATATCATTTACAAATTAACATTTTTTACACAACATATTATTGTCCACCGAAAAATTTAATATCCTAACCAGTTTCTTAACTTGGATATAATCATGAATGGATATCATTCAACATTAATGTTGAACCCATCTTGTCCATTAGATAAGCGTCTACAAATTGTGACTTGTCTGAAATTTTTATTTGATCAGAAATGCCAAATATAGAAAATTTCAGCAAAGACAACAATATTTACATGTACTAATGTATAAGAAAACAGGGTTTTCCGTTCATTTTGGCCTGTTATTTTGGCCTAACAGGCCAAAATGATTAAGTAGGCGGTCACAGAAAATTTTGGGGGGGGGTTTGGGTGGGTTTACCCCCCTTGAAAAATTTTTGAAATCTAGACTCAAAATCGTGGCATCTGGTGAATTTATAAGACAAGATTTCATGCTTGTCAAATGGACATATTATTAGCAGTACTTCATCGTTGGAAATTTTCCGCATTTGTTTGAATTTTTTCAGGCCTTGGTGGGTCTATTCGAACCGTCATGCAAATCAATTATCATGCCATTGATTCATTCGCGAATTAAACTAAACACAACAGAACAAATTGAAAAACAAACAAACTCATGCATGCAAATGTTATCAATATATTATCGTAATAATGCACATCTTTGTGTCGCTTAGCGGAGAAAAAACTGTAGTTGAATGTTTCATCATTCATCACATGGCACGACTTTGTATATATACTCAACATCTCTCAGGATTTTACTAAGAAATCTTGTTCGATGGATTTTTTGAATAAATGGGGCACTTTAATTTGAACAATGAAGTCTGAGGACTTATTCTTGTACAATCAACATCTTTACCGTAAAGGAAAATTATAAAAGCCAACAGGGATAAAACTTAACGGTCGCCCAGTCGCCCATGGCGAGCATAATTTCACATGGGCGACTTCACATCACTTTCCAGATCGCCCAGGTAGCGATTGCAATATATTTATTTCATAACTCCAACTGACAAGTTTGTTCTATCGCTAGAAGTACTCGACGGTTATTTAATCATTCAAAACACATTATGGAAAAGCTTTCCGTAGAAAAAAAAACATCGCTGGTTTTGTTTTAAACGGAAGTCACATGTTTTCAAACGGGGAACCAGTTAACGAATGAATAGACCAAGTGAAATCGGTACGTCCTAGTCAATCCGGTTGAATTTCATTACATACACGCTTTTTTTTTCATTTCTGAAAAATACTGAAGCGAATTTGATACATATTTCAAACATTTCTACTCAAACAGCCAGTAACAAATCAATTTATTTATTCCTAAATATTAATATAACGGTAAGTACGTATCGTTGTCATGCCCATGTCTGTCAAAATTTAAAATTAGAAACAATTTGTAAACTTCCTGTTTCAAAATGTGGAAATATATAAGCTGCGCTAAGCCTCCACAGAAAAGAAAAAAATGAGGGATAAGGTTACATACTTTCGTGAATATGAGAAAACAAAAAGGGTGAAGCATTACTCAACTGATTTGGAAAAAGACAGGTCCTGGTTAAAAGACAGTGAGGAGGGAATGATTTGCCTAACATGTCAACATTTGACAACAATATGGTGATCCAAAGACAAACATTTTCAGCTCTTGATAAATATATTAAACTAAAAACTGTTTGATGTATATTTGTTTTTTCCCAAGAAAAAAACTGGGCCAAAAACAATTCTGTAGCCCAGCTGGCTCCTGTAAAAAAAAAAGTTAAGTTTTATCCCTGGCCAAGCTTTTGAAAAAATTACGAAATGTATATCCTGATTCTAGGGTCACTGATGAGTCTTTTGTAGTTGAAACATGTGTTTGGAGTACAAAATTTCAATCCTGATATCTATGATGAGCTTATTGTTATTCATTTGCAACCATCAGTTTGTTCTTTAAAAAAAACAGGGGCATTGTAAACTAGTTGTAGCACTTTAAAAATCTGACTCAGCTTGTCAGTCTAGTCAAAGCAGGATTCATATAAATTTGCATGTTCTTGTCCTGAAAAAAGCATTAAATTTGCTACTGGACCTTATACATGTACAGCCACCTATCATCATTTTTTTTTATGTTGTGCAGGAAGACTGTTTTCTCGATCAGATGCTCAAAGAGTTTAATACTAGATCTAAAGTACAAGTTGGTAAATAGTGTGGAGTTGGTTGAGTAGGAGTTGGCAAAGGTATTAGTTGTTGTGTATTGACATCTAAATTGATTTGAGTACTAAATTAATAACTAACCACAAGCAGTATGTTTAAATTAATAACTAACCACAAGCAGTATGTTATCTCAAAATTAAAGCTTTAAGAATAAGCAGACACATATATTAAGGCAATAAAAGAAAGTATTGGCCGAGGAATCATTAAAGAAAAAAGTCTTGAAAATTTCACCGAATGTGTACACAAGTTGTGCATTATCCCGAATAAATTTAAGATTAATTAGGTGAACAATGGAAAAACATGTTCAGAGACAAGTATACTTTTGAAATGTTTGTATTTTCATTCTTTTTTTCTATGATTATGTGGTTTTTTTTCTTCCCAGAAACAAATTTGGTTGGTCCAAAAATGAATTCAACAAAATTTTATTGTCTGCAATTATTTCAAATTTGAGAGGGAAATTGTATGAAAGTTAAGAGTTAAATACTGTATAAAATGTAGAAAATTATTGGAATATCTAATGTTAGTACTGACTGGGTGACCGTCTTAAACTTTAATGTTGCAACTGTAAGGAACTTTCTTTGTGCGAATATAAAAATGTCACCGCGCTCGTTCCATTCGAAGAAAAAAACCGAGGCATCATATTTGCTGTGCAGGGAAGTAGTTGGTTATACCTAAATTTTTTCAATTTTAAAGTTTTTTCGTGATACTTGAAGGTTTTGATCACATTTTGCTATTCAAACTGAAAAAAAGTTACTGGCGTTTACATTTCAAGTCCAGGCTTGACTGTCATCCATTTTTGAATTTTGGGGCACATTTAAAGATTGACCAATGAAATTTTGTCCACGAAGGATAACGTCATTAAACGAGACTTGAAATAAAATATCTTTTTGTAAAACTAAACTTTATTGGTTGATTTATTTATAGCAGCGAATCGGATGTTTCAAAACAAAAAGTATATTGTTTACATATGGCGACCAGACAAAACACAGACATGTGGATGTGCCTTGACTTGTTTTTGGTTTGTATTTGCAGTGCCAAGTACCAAGCATACTGTAAAATGTTTATATGAAGCAGATATTGCTTTTCACAGAGGACGAAGCCCATATAAACAGTTTCAAACACACACACAATGCTAAATATATATTAAAAATGTTGTTTTGTTGATTTTTTTAATAAATATAAAGTATAAACAATTTGTAAGATATCGCTAAGGACGTTCTGTTTTGGTACGTTCGCCTACATGACATTTTCGCCCCAGATCTATCTGCCCATAGATTCTGTTTGCCCCTATTGCATCTTAAAATTCATCTTGCATTTAATCATGTAAATGGTAGTTGGTTTCATATAACGTATTTATTTCTTTCCTATACTATAGTGATAGATGAATAAGGGGTCCATAGACTTACCCCCCAAAGCACAAAAAATACCCCCTCCCCCCAAAAAAAATAAAAAATACCTCAAAACACTAAAAAACAGTCATATTAATTGTGATTCTTTGGTACATGTGTGATATTTAATTTATGTATAATCCCTTCATAATCTTGCCATTCTTGGTCAGTGTTTAAAGGTTGTCTTCTGAAGAAAAATATGAGTGAGAGTCTTAAAAATGCAGATAGTAAATATTCACTTTCTAATGCAACTGTTTATTTATTACCACTAAAATATATAAAAAAGTTAGATGTGAGGAAACGAGTTTAGTTAAAGCATTACTTGCATTTGTAATTATAGACAGCTCATTTCCTTTTTAATGTTTTTAATTGTCATTTTTACTTTGGCCACAAAGTAAAATAAAGTGTTTTAATCCTGATTAATGAAACATAAAATGATCTAAACAAGTCTGTCATTTTCTGAATTAAACAAGTCCAAAATTGTTCACATTTTTATCATAATCCATATTTTGACTTCTGTATCAGAAACAAAAGAAGATTTGTTTATGTCTAAACTCTTTCTAAATTATTGATGTTCAATAAATATCTTAAGTGAATAAATAAGTTGTGGCAGTTACAGTTCTTGGTATTATTTTTCTATAGAAGTGGTAATGTTTCATGTAAAATAAACAAATAAGTTAAAAAAAAAACCAATCATTAAAAGTGTGTGTTTGATTTTTTTGGGTGTTTTGGGGTAAATCTTTGGACCAAAATATGTTAAATTTATGGTGAAAAAAAAATATATGTAGTCTACAACTTTTTGGCTGCATTTATAGATTGGTATTTAAAAATAATTACTCTTTTGATTGATACATGTATATAAGCAATGCATGTTAGGTATTATTTTTCAGTGTTTAATCTCTGTGATTGTTTAATAACTTGCTTTGTTTATTTTATTATGAAAATAAGAACTTTATAAAGTTAAGAAGTAAGTCTGGAATTGATAATCACATAGAGTGAATGTATAAATTTAAAAAAAAGAAGTTTTCTTGTAAAGTTTAGTATAGAGTTTCCTATGTGAAACTGAAATATGTAAACCTGGGAAAGGGTAGTTATTGCTGTGTATATTCAATTTATTTAATTCAAGTTCCTTTGAGTAAATTGCAGTAATATATTTAGGAAATTCTTGATAAATTAACTAAAAATTACCATCAAGGTAACAGGAGGTGTTGTTGACTTTATCAATTAATTGAAATGTAGACGGATCTTCATGAAGTTCAGCCATAAACTGTGATTCATAGCAATGCAGGAGCAAGTCTGCTATTATGAGACACATTTGGTACCCATAGTAATACCTATATCCATTCTATAAACTTTATTGTCGAAACATTCATATATGTTGGCATTTTGGCAAGTAGAAAATTTATAACTTTAATCATCTCATCACACTTCCAGCAGTCAGTGGTACTACTTGTACAAGTTATTTTTATTTACTTGTAGAAGTAAATATTTATAACCTTAGATAAATAAATTTGTAATATACTTATACAAGTGTATTTTATTAACTTGTATAGGTAAATTATTTTAATGGCTTAGTTATGTCCCTTAGACATTCAGATTTTTTTACTAATACAAGTAAAAAAGTCATACTATCTTCTTACTTATACAAGTAAAAATGTCATACTATCTTCTTTTCTTGAATTTCTCAGGACATCTTTGCTCTAATAGAATTTTTAATTGTCTGTCCTTTGCAGATGTCTTTACTTATCATGTAAGTGTAATTTCATGGACAATGAAAATCTCATTTGTCTGTTATCTTCAAAACACTGCTCATTTACAAGCCTCCAAGGGGCAATTTTTGAAGGCCTTGCTCAATTACTTAAGATCGTTGCGCAATTGGTTTCTTTGTTGAGTTAATGAGATGAAATGTTGAACTCTAATAAAAAATTATGAGCTTACCAGAGAAAAAATGTTTAAGCTTAAGGCATGTTTTTACATCCCAAAACTTGAGAATTTTAGGGATTGTAAAAAAAATTACTTATACAAGTAAATTTTTGGAAAAAAGGGGAGATTATTCAAACCTTATAAGAAAATATGAATATAACAAAGTTTACTTATATAAGTATTCTATTATTTACTTCTTTAAGTAAATAAAAATAACTTGTACAAGTAGTATCCCTGGCTGTCCATTTGGTATGTCAATCATATGTACCTTTTTGATTACAGAAGAAGGCTAAATATGCATGATATGAGTTGCAGCAAATAAATATGCAATCAAGGACCTTTTAATTATTTAATTAGGAAAACGTTTGTTTAATAAGATTATGTGGAAGTGCAGTGTAGAGAGTTGAAAAGTCATAACTGTCACCCGAATAATACAAAGCAGGGTATATCTATATAATCATAATATTTTAATGTGTCATGCTTGAACATGATGAAGTATTTTACATAAAGAACACTATCATCCAAAAATCAATCCATATAACTTAAACTTAATAGAAAGTTTGTTTTATTTTCAGAAGTTTAACAAACAAAAATAGATATGCAGTGACTGTGTCTTGCCTCCCAGTATGCCAAGGCGAAGAAAGTCATTACACAATAACAAGGCTCCCCTGATCTTCACAGAGAGTCCAGTAAACATACAGAGTAATGTCCCTTCACCAGTTTATTGTTCTAGACATCCACTCACAGCAAAATCAGTCCCTGTAGGGGATCTATCATGGGTAATGTATTGCAATAAGAACAAGCATCATACTATACTGGACCGTAACTGGGGTGTTTTATTACCAGAAAAGGATTACAAAACAAAAACAAGTGCAAAATGGCGATTAAGAAACCTGATCTCTATGAAATGACCGAAATTATACCTGTACAAAAAAAATTTAACCTTAATCCCAATCTGCCTTTTAGGACAAATAGCTTTCAGTTTTAGTCATGACTGACAAATATGACTGTCCGGATCCTTATTAAATTACTATTAATAGTTAGGCATTTATACTAAATTTGATGAGTACTACACAGTATTGGTTTGCTCATTGTTGAAAGCCATACAGTTAACTATAATGATCAAATCTTCCTCGTTTGATATCTTGGAGATAGTTGTCTCATTTGCAATCATACCACATTCTTATTTTTGTATATATGAATTATTAAAAGCAATGCTACAATGAATATGAAAAATGAAAATAATGTTTTATAAAGGAGCCTCAATAAATGGCCCTGTAAAGGTGTTTTTTTTAACATCAGTTATTAAAGTAAATCTAATGGGTAGGTATTGCTTAATGTAGGAAATTTAAAAGTATAATACAAAAATTGTATATCTGCTTCATACTTATAAATATATTAGCCTGAAATAGGAATAGATTTCATTTTCGTCTATTTTTCTAGAAATTTGTCAACTTTTTCCACCTTTTTTCATAATTTTGTATGTGGCGCCACCCCTCACACATTGAAATTTTTGTTGAAGAGTAAGGAATATGGTATAAAAAGAATATTTTAGCAAAAATATTTGTGGGCAAAGGGTGGCACCACCTAATTTTTCTGAAAACTGTCATAAATATTGCAGAATTCTGCAAAAAATCAGGTTTTATGAAATTCCCCTTCATTATGATGTCACTGATGACGCAATTGGTGAAAATATGTTTTAACTGAAACAGTTGGACATTTTAACATATGTTTTAATCAAATGTTCACTACATTATCAAAGTGAAAAATTTTCAGGTTTTTAAGGGCCAAAATTATGAGTTAGTGAACCAACTCCTTTGGTGAGTCCAAATAGCTTTTCTAGATTCTACTTCATTGGGAACGCTCAAACCCAAAAATTTGAAAGCAAAGAATGTTTAACTACATTTTGTACTGGAATACATTAGGAGTTATATGACGAAAAGGGACCTAAAAAGAATAGCATAAATACACCACAGGACTAAGGTCAAACTTATGAAGTTTAGTCAAGACCAAAAAATCCTATTTTCTATTCACTGAAAAAATATGATGTAGGGTAGATGCCCTTGAAATATTTTAAATATCAGACCATTGTGTCAAGAATAGGGTTAAAATATTTTTTTGAACTTTAAAAAAGGTGTTACCTAATATATACAATGCAAGTAATGATCTTACTCAATCTAACTTTAAATTAAAGGCAAATCCCTTGTCTTGCCTCAGTAACTGGTCATACAGCTTTAAAATACTACTGGTATCAACATCAAAAACAGATGAAGTATATCTTCTAGTACATTGTATCATATTTTGTACATTCACAAAATATTTTTCTTTTGTAATGGTCATTACTGGTAAATTAGTGTCCTTTATGAATCTTTTTTTATCTCTAAATGTCAATTTGAATCTTGGTGAAAGCCCTACACTGTATATAAAAATATGAAGATGTGGTATGATTGCAAATGAAATAACTCTCCACCAGAGACCAAATGATGTAGAAGTTTATAACTATAGGTCACTGTATGGCTTTCAACAATGAGCAAAACCTATACTGCATACACAGCTATAAAATTCCCCAAATGACCAATGTAAAACAATTCAAACACAGTTTTGATTATCTGAAACCATTTCTTTTTTGAAGTTGCAAATATATTCACTATGAATTAAAAAAAATTAGTAGTAAAAATTTGTAGGGAGTGGGGCCCCAGAGGGTGTATGAAAACACAATATTATTAAAATGAATGATAATAATAAGAAATAATATGTAATCCACATCTTTTACCTGCATTTTTTTAACTGACAATAACAGTAAATAAAACTACATTACAGGTATCTCCACAATTCAGTGAAAACCAAGAGTCAACTAGAAAGGTGAAAAAACAAAGAAAACGTAGGAGTACTTCAGGCCCAAAATGTACCTGTCATCATGGTTCCCACGGAAATCCTGCTGGAGGCGCAAACAACAAATATGAACCATTGAAATTCTTTGGTGAGAAGACACCTCCTGTAACAATTGTCGAGGATCTTTCATTTTCTGAAGAAGAGGAAAATGTAAATATTTCTCAGGAAACAAAATCCCCATGTTTAAATAGAGCTGAGACAGCCCAAAAGAGGAAAAGTAGAAGTAAAAGAAAGAGTTTAGTGTCAAAAAGAAAGCTTTTGAGTGAAAATGATCTTTTGAACAAACAGCCAGGGGATCATGATAATTCAGATGACAATTTTGACCTTGGTAACCATGGAAACACTTCCTTTCATACGCCTGTGACGATTATCATTCCAAGGGTCAAGGCTGTTATTGAAAATGACCTTACAGAGGTGGATGGGATTCAGCAAGAACATGATGACTTCACTGGAACACCTGTCAACAAAATCCAATCACCTGTCAAAAGATTGTTTACTTCTCTCAAAGAATCACCAGAAACAAATGTGTTTACATTGATAAAGAACAGAAAATCTTCGAAGGCAAACACTAATAAACCTAACAGGCTTTTGAAAAATTTAAACACTTCAGTGTATTCCCCGTCTGGTAGGAACAACAATGGTCATGTCTTAGTAGCAGACACACCGGAGGCAGACTATGGTATTCCTTATAGACTTAGAAGATTGAGAAAAATACTGACAAAATGTAATAACTAGGTGAAATAATTATGTAAAAGATTCTAATCATCCAATCCTTTCAACTTTCAAAGGTATAGTTGTCCTAACTTTATGAATTGCATTCATTGACTTTTACTGGAAAAAATAGAAAGTTTAATATTAAGTTTTTTAATTTAAAAGGAAAGATTTCATTTTAAAAATCTGAAAAATTTAATGACTTTCTTTTAAAATAATTTAATTTTGGATGTAACGTGTCTTCTGATTGGCTGACGTTGTTTTGTTTATCAGCTCATAGACATAGTTTTGTCATGTGACCGTGACGTCATCAACGTTTTTTCATGGTTTACTCCGGTTTAAAATGGAATTTAGAATTAAATTATAAGAAATGACTGTAATATTTTTTCTGTCTATTTGAAATAACATAAAAAATGTGGTGCACACTTTAAAATAACCCGCTACGCGTGTTATTCAGTGTGCACCACATTTTTGATGTTATTTCTTCATAGACAGAAAAAATATTACAGTCATTCCTTAAATAATCCACATGAGTTATTTCTATTTTTAATTTTTTCTTTCACATAGATAATAAAACAACAATCAAACATTTTTGAGGACGTCACATTCAGAACATCTTTTCATATAAATAATATAAAAGTTTAGACTTCAAATTTAAATCTAGATTACATTTTACTCAGCAAGCCACATGATATCAACATTGTTGAATATTCACTTTTCCATCGAATCTTTTATTTTTGATTAAAAATTCTTTAAACATAGAAATTCATTATAAAACATCAAATTGATTGAATGATTGGAATCTTACAAATTTCTAATAAACACAATATTTTTGATATACGTGTGACTGGTGCAATATTTTTATATGTTATCTTATATGCAAATAATAATTTATTTTGATACAAATACTGTTGATTGTTTATTTAGAATTTATTGATATAGTAGCTGTTTTATCAACCTTGTGCAGAATGCATACGGTACCTGCTAACTTTTCAAAATCTCCGTCGGGGGATTTTAAGCGCAAGAGGAGCTAATGTTTCTCTTATATTGTCATAAGTGTTTTTTATCTACCTCTATATTGTTTGGATGAGTATGTATGTGCTTAAATACCCTTTTAGCTCATTTGAATGTCTGTTTTGAGGTGTTCAGTTTATATATTAAAGAATTTCAAAATTCAGGTCAACACCTCTCATAGGGGATATCCCCCATAAATCAGGATAGTTGGCAGGTCTGAGAATGCATTCATGGTCCACTGGTTAGCTTTGATGTCCAGTGTTCTGTACTGGTTACCTGATGAGATTATAAAAGAGTACAGCTTAAGTAGACTCTATGGACCCTTTTGGTCATTGTTAATGATCTTTGTATTACAGTTAAGATGAAGAACAACAACAACAGTGCTGATCTGTATCTGTATTTCCTAGCATTACATGAATTTAAGGATATCTTTTTGTTCAAATTGTTCACCACTGTCAGAGAGTTTGTATGTTCCCTATCAAACAAAAATACAAACAACTAGCATAGGAATTTAAAACATTTTTTTACATGCAAGATATGTCTCCTCTGCTGTAACATTGTAATTATTGTCAACAAACTCTGATGAAACCTGTCCCATATACATGTATTTGTTATATGTTGTTGCAAGTGAGACAATAGAATTGAGAATGGAAACAGGGAATGTGTCAAAGAGACAACAACCCAACTAAAGAGCAGAAAACAGCTTAGGTCACCAAGGGGTCTTCAAAACAGCTAGAAAATCCTGCACTCTCAGTTGGCCCCTAAACAATAATGTATACTAGTTCAGCAAAATGGACGGCACACTTAACTCCGAAACATATAAATAAAACAAAATGAAAAATTACACACAAGACTTACATAGGCTGGAGGTTCCTGACTTGGGACAAGCACAAAAATACTGTGTTTACTATACATTTGTAATAAAAACTTCCTAAAGATTTAGGAGCAATTTGCTGTAAATTTTTATTGATTAATATTCTTGTAAAATGTTTAACTTAAATGATTTAGTCAATCACTTCAATAAGGTGATATCAAGGAAGCATTTAGTACAGTGTAGTCAAACCTCTATGAAATATTGGTGTCAAAGATGACCAGATGTATTCCATTTGTTGTAAGCACAAATTGGACAAGCCTATCCTACTTTCCTTGTTCATTATCCCCAGATTTTTACTTGTCATGAGAAGCAAGATGGGTACCACTAGTGGAACAGGAATTGCTTACCCTTTAAGAGCCCTGGAGATGACCACTGATTTAGAATTTGGATTTGTGTATATATATAACCTTTTTTGCCATTACAGATTCTAAAGGGTTGTTTGTTATTTCATTGTTCTTGCACAAAAATAAAAAAATAACATTGTCATTGATTGAATACCCATTATCAGTTGTTTAGAAACGTGTGTATCTAATCACGTTTATTTGTGCAGTTTTGAAAGTATTCAATATGAAAAGGAGAATGTCTAAAAATTTTAACTGACAACATTTTTTTGTGCAGATATAAAACAGCAAGTAGAATTGCACAAACACTCTTGTTTATAATAAACTATTTAGTTGTTGCAATTTGCTATGAACTAAATTTCAGTAACTAAGAGTTACTTGTCTATCTGACTTTGTCTCTTTTGTCTTTTTTTTATTTGGTTAGTTGATTTTTGTCTCTCCTAGACCAAAGTTGCAAAGGATAGACTTAGGCATGCATTTTCCGGTAAGGGCAGGATTGTAAAATTTGTTAGTTTGTGATGAGGTCAGTTTAAGGGGAACCACTAATGGTAAGTCAATGATATTTGGTATGTAGTTTTATTAGCATTAACACATCTCATTTCCATGGAGATTATTTGGCCCAGCACATTTTGTCATGATTCATTGACCTTAAATGGTTTGCATAGTTACATGTTAAAGTATTGCCATTTTAATTTCAACATTTGCATTTTACTATCAAAATTACATACAGGCGATACGTATATCTGTGTCAACAATTTATTGTCCCAAGTCCGGGGGATGGTTGAGTGCACAATATTTATTGTAATTACCCCCACTAATTTCAACACCCCCGAACAGTGAAATTTTGATGGCAAACAGTAAAATTTTATTACATAATCTGTTAGATGAAACCTTGAATTTTACAGGAAAATTACTCCAACTGCTGGGAAAAATCTGTTAAGAAAGTATCAGTTCATTAAGTAAAGCCTTTATTATAGCATTTTTTCAACAAATATAGAATTTACAGCTGAATGATTGCATCAAATGCATTACCTTGCTATTTAAAAGAAGAAAAAGGTTCATTTTTTCCAATTTTACTAATAATAAGATATAATCTAAACTGATATATTTAAAATTTTGGTAAAACTACAAAATCACAATTTGTGACAAAATTTCGAATTTGCTACTTAAATAAGTGATTTTTAAATCACTTATTTCAGTAAGTCCCCTGACTCAGTGATAAGGTATCTATCTTGCTTATAGTTGAAGGCTGTAACAGAGATCTATAGTTGCTTACCTCCAAGTCATTTGGTCTCTGGTGGATAGTTGTTTAATTAGCAATTAGACCATTTTTCCTCATTTTTATCTCGATAGAACATGTATTTTAGATATGGTATAAAATACTGTTAACCAACTTATTGTTGCGAGCAAGCAATATTTTTTTTGTGAATTTTGCAAGTAGAAAAATAACATTTATATTAATCTTTGCAATTATATCAAATTTGAATTCCTTTATACATTTACATGTATAATTAGAAAATTAGGAAATCATCAAAAAACAAATAACAGTGAAGTTGCTGAGATATGGCACAAAAGGAGTAACCCAAACTAAGTTGGTTCTACAGTAAATGTATAATCATGATAATACTGATTATCATCAGGTATTGCCAAGAAGTTAAAAAAAAGAGATTTTGTAGCTTCAAAACTTAAAAAAAAAAAAAACAAAAAAAAAAACTATTTATAACAGAAAAATGGATTAGGGTAACTTTGTGTGAGGTTAAACTAATATGTGAAAAAAGCAAGAACATTGTAAAGAATCTGCTATGAAAATTTATTCTTTTTCTACAATAAACAAAAAAGCTGATCCACTTGTGCAAGAAATGAGCAAACATTTTGTTTCTTTATCATAATCAACAGCTAGAGGGCTATCTAGAATGTCATCCCAGTCCAGAACTGATTTAAATCTTGCTTGACTAGGAGAGATCAAGATAACACTTGCAGTGTTCCTACAAGCAACAATAACATTGCCATGACAATTGATGGATATTCCTCCTGGAATTGTTTCCTCTAATTCGAATTTCCACTTAAATTCTCCTGCTGTATTAAAACAAAATACAGCTTTCATTTTGGCATCTGTGAAGTACAATTGATCATGCCATGATGTAACATATGATTCATCAGAACATTTAAATGTCACAACATTTGTAATTTTATTGTCATTTTGTAAGTCTAACTTTCGCAATCCTTTATTTAAAGCACAGAATATTAATTGCCCATTATTGAATGTTATTCCAAAGCAGCTGACATATGTTTTGAAGGTTCTTATGGCATCCTGTCTACAAAGGTCAACTATTGTAATACAAGAATCTATCGGTGATGTCACAGCTACTGTATCATTGCCAAGATGTGTCACATCAAAGGCACTCATTGTTTCCAGAGAAATTGTTTTTTCAATTAATCCATCCATACTGACCAATATAAGACGAGCTGGTGAATAATTACAAAAAAGCTTCTTTCCACTAGGTAATATTTTACATCCCGTCACCTGGCTACCAAAATTATTTATTTTCTGTATTAACTTTAGAGTTAAGTTGTCAACAGACACATCAACCATAATTTGTGCTTGTCTTTCCCTTTCGTTGATCAGTGAAATGTCACATTCCTTTTTACTAATGTTAATTTTACCAAAACTTAGTATTCTTGTACTAATTTTTTTAATTTTGTTGTTAATACTGCACGATATAGTAGTTTGTTCAAGAGTTCTATCTTTGAACAAACTCTGGATATATTGTTCACAAGGAACAACTGTCTTTTCTATTTGTTTCATGCTTAAGAACGCTTGAAGTTCTGATGCACATTTTTTTATATGATGAAAATTTGTCAAAAGTTCATCAATTTTTTTTTCTTTTTCCTTCAGTGACTCCGTGAAAGTTTCTATCTGATTCACAACCTTGTTTTCCTCTGTATTTAGCTTCAATATAAGCTTGTTCTGCACTTGATCTAGATGTTTGTTTATTTGAAGTCTAATAAGCTGAATTTCATTTTCAATATCTACTTTTGACTTCTGTATTGAAAACAAGTACCTTAATCTGTTTTCCTGGATATTCTTTATATTCTTCACCATTTCTTCCAACATTTTTTCGAGGTCTTCAAAAGCACTGGATGATTTGACATTTTGCACCATATCTTCCAATGGATGAATGTCCTTACAGTTCCAATGATCTTTTAGTAAACATTTCCTACAACAAGGACTTTCATGACTGTGACAGTACATTTGGTACTTGTCTTCATGTTCTTCACAAAATGGTTTGATATTTTTTATAAAGGGAGATAACTTGTTGTATTCCACATTTGTAATTGTTTTGTGGTCCTTTGTTGCTCTAGAAAATGTGTGATGATCCATACAAGATTTACAAAGATGTTCATCACATTCTGAACACCAGGCCACTGATGGTTTTAAAAGTTTGCGGAGATCACAGATTCCGCAAAATGATTTGTAACCATCTGTTTCCTCACTCTAAAAAAGAAATAAAGAGCATTTGTTATATGACGGTGCTGTCATTAGATTTTAGAAGTAAAGTATCTCATGGATAAAAGGATATGTAGGATAAACCTCAATCACACACACTACAATGACGAAAGTATATAAAAGTACATCCAGAGGGAAACATACAGTAGTCAACAATAGACAGGTGTCTATACAAATGGTCTAGCTCTTAATCCTCCCAACATGTGAATACAATAAAATCAATCTTGTTTGGTGATATATTTGATTGAACAATTGTTATTAATAATTAATAATAAAACAAATTATAATATATCAAATTTTTTTTTTTAATATCATTTTATAAGACCTTTCAAGTATACCGGTAAAATCATTTTTACTTTTTCTGGTAGCAATACAAAATTCTTGTCCATTTCCTGTCCATGCAATCTCTTTCATGTTTTAGGAGTTGATTTATTAGTCAACTTGCAGCCAGGCATCCTGGCCCAACTTTTACTCTGCATTGTTTAAGGTTGAGCTGAATAGGGAGCCTGTGTCTGGCTACTCAGTATTTTTAGGTTCTTACTGGCACTAGTTATTCAGGATTAGTCCACTGTTCTCATTTAAATGAAGATACAGCATGATGCGTCCATCAAGAGTAATCGATTAAGACAATTTTTGAGAATTGTTAGTTTAAGGTAGAATGGGGTATTAACAAAAAAGATAGATTTTTGCATACCTTACTACCCTTCTGGAGCTCCATCCAAGTCACAATGTGTAAAAGTAAACCATTATACTGAGGTCAAAGTACGTCCTTCAACACGGAGCATTGGCTCACACCGAACAGCAAGCTATAAATGGCCCCAAAAAGTGTAAAACCATTCAAACAGGAAAACCGACAAAATACATTGAAAAGACATTTTCTCCTGGATTTGAAAGAAATCTACAAATTGTATTGCTTCAATGGATCAATCTTATTATATTGGTAACCACATGTAATGGAATTTCAACAGACGCTATCTAGATAAAGCTATTATGACAAATATGCTACAGCATTGTGCGTCACTCCTATTGGCTTGGTTCTTACAATGTAACACATCATTGCCATCAGTGTGTGTCCACACTTTGATTTACTGTATAGTCTGCGTTTGTAGAAATCACTAATTCATTCATTGCAGAAGTAAATAATATTTCAGAAAAGAAGATGGACTTTACTTCCTAAATTCAAACAGTATTTGGGTCAAATAATCTTGAAATTGAATTATTAAGGCGTATCTTTTGTTTTTACATGGCAAATTCTTTTAAAATTATGATACTAGTATATGAATGAATGTATTATATATACTTACTTTGAATCTGAAATAAGACAGCAACGATTGCAACATTTTTGATATCCAATTCATCTAGGTCAAAGTTCATTGAAGAAAAGACACCTGTATTTATTAGTCATGTTAGTCACAACATAGAAAAATAACATGTATCAACTTGCTTGTAAATTCATAAATAAATATTCACGTAAACATTCACATTATTCAGTAAGCCTCGATCGATAACCAGCTGAAATTTAACAAAAAAATTACACCAAAGTCTTAACAAGCATTTAAATGATGGATTTGCTTCATAAATTAAAATACTAATACATGTATCTAAATTGAATTTCAGTCATGTTTGCATGGGAAAATCAATGTACCTTTCTAAAAAATACGAAGACGCTCAATGAAAATTACAATATATTTTGGAAAAATTGTCTCTTTAATGATGATAATTCAATAAATGGAAATACACTAAGAACCTACAGAAAATTTAAAGTAAAGAATGAAGTTGCCCCTGAAAAGTACCTTCTATTGAATTTAGATAAAAATGTTACAAAAATAATGCAAAAATAAAAATAAGTAATAGTATGCTAGCTATATATTGAACGTGGTCGATACAATAAGACAGCCTTAGACCCTCCAGCGACTGTCAAGATGAAGAACAGAAATAAAAGCCCTGTTCATTGATAACTTGTATTTTTTCTATGTATTGAGTGGTATTTTGTCCCATGCACATTTACTCCATATCCCTTTGTTTTCTTTTTTAGGGCCCGAACACGGCTTAATGCAAGGTTAGCTCTTCAATGCAAAAGGTCATATGGCAATACATTATTTACTTTTAAATGATTTGATTCCGGGATATTGGGTTGTCTCACTTTAATTTAACCCATGTCAGCTTTTTTGTTTTATTTACAGAAAAGGGAGCCAGTTTTGTATTCTTTAATATAAAGTTTAAATTTGCATGAAAAAACGACAAATTTGTCTATGTCCGATAGCATCGTATCTTCTCAAAACATTTTCACGAACAATATCTGGACATCGGTTTCATGCAACATTGCCAAACCACACACGACCGTTTAGTAGTCATCGTAGATCTTTTCCCAGGTCTTAAGTCTACGCAAAGCAGAGAATGAACGTTCACAACAAGGAATATCAGACAACTGAAGCCATAGTCATAAAGATCGATTGATCGATTGGTGTTCGCTTAACGCCGCCTCAGAACAAAACGACGAGAGCTACTTTCAAATATTTTTACTATTTAAAGTAGTTTTTTAAATTAGACAAAAGGTCCTTAAATATAATAAAACTCAAGTTTAAAACAAAATTACTTATTTACAAATGAAATTCAACACTAGGAGAATAGTCATAAAGAAGGGCAATCAATGAACAAAAGAAAACCCCGGGAACAGATAAGACACACAACGACACACAATTATAGACAATCAACACCGAAAACAAACTAAAAATAAATGAGAAACATGGATCCCGAAAAAAACAGGGGCGACGTCAGAGGGTGAACAGAACTTGCTTCTTGCAAGACACTCGCCGTGAAAAAAATTTGATATGAAAACAAGCTTTTGTTTCAACTTATTATTTTTTTTTTAAATTTCCAACATGCCTCATTTGCCTCAGTGTAGTTACGGTCCTGATTAGTCATAATGAATGCTTCAAAATGGAACAAAAACTTTCACCGCACTGCAAGTCCAAGACGGCTCCTAGCACCAGTTTGAGATGATCAAGACTAAATAAATCTAAATGGGAATTTAAAATACCATAATACATGTGTATGCTTTTTTTAAATTTTGGTTCATCTATATGTTTCGGAGTTCAGTGTGACGTCCATTTTCTCTGAACTAGTACACATTTTTGTTTAGGGACCAGCTGAAGCCCGCCTCCGGGTTCGGGATTTTTTCGCTGTGTTGAAGACCCATTGGTGGCCTTTTGCTGTTTTCTGCTCTTTGGTTGGGTTGTTGTCTCTTCGACACATTCCCCGTTTCCATTCTTAATTTTATTGCACGGAACACGTTGTAGACGAAAAGCTCGTCTGGTGTAAAAAAGATTAATCCTGGTATCTATAAGAAGTTTATCCAACTGGTTTCGTAAAATAGGTTTCACTGCAATTGATGTATTTCTAGAACTTTTTTAAATTGTCATTTTAATTGTCTTCAAAGAAGCTGTACTTCAGATATATTTTTGTAAATTATTTAGTTTAAATTAGTTTTTAGGATTTTGTTTTTATATTTTGAACTTTATTTCTAGGTGTCACCTTTTCTTTTGAAAACAATTATTTTACCTTAGTTTATTATATTCGTAATAAATGCATATAATTTAATAGCCCGAAAGAACATTTGTTGATTGCGTACCACACAATACAAGTAAATATTATATAAATAACACATAGCTGAGCAGGTGATAGAGCAGATTGTTACCCCGAGAAAACAATGTCAACTGAGGCGAAGCCAAGGTTGACAATGTCTTTTCGTGGGGTAAAAATCTGCTCTATCACCTTCTCAGATATGTGTTATTTAATTTATTATACTGAATGTTCTATTATTACTGTCTATTAAATTTTAATTTCAAAGTAATAAACTATGACGTCTTGTACATAACAATCATCCGTATTTATTAAAGCGCACACTTTAGCAGGCGTGTCCGTGAAGGGTAATAAATCTAGTATTTGCCATGGGATAGAGTAAATTGTCTCCCTCGTGTTAACCAATCAAAATCTGGCATTTTGACATGAAGTATAATAATATATAAATAACACATAGCTGAGAGGGCATGCCAAGAAATTGCTTCCGTTGAAATTCTGCAAACACCCCATAGAGCAAATTACATGGATGATTAATATTGACCATTTGGTATATGGCCGTGTTCTAAGCGACACGTACATGAAGGTCATAAATTAATTTGTTGAATGAAATCAAATCTTTAGCTACTAATGAGTGCCGTAGGAGGTAGACCGGAATTTTTAGCGAGGATTTCTTGGCATGTTACAGATAGAAAACTCAGGGTTAGAATTCATAGAACAGAAAAGGGGCAGTGGCAAATATTTCATCATGGTATATTTTGAACACAGAGAGAATTACTCCGTCATTCTTTGCAAAAAAAAACATTCTTTTTCTTATGTGTGCCTTTGGACTTCATGTTTTGAATTGTAGTTACACTTTCCATATTCGGTATTTATTCAAATGTAAGCTCTACGTGGTGAAAATCACGTGATGCAGGAATATAGTATCTTGGAGTTAGGCTATTTCTTTCTTTTCGGGCGGGGACTCCAAGCAAACAACATGCATGTGTATAACGGCACTGCAGATTTTCGTATTAAATAAAGAAAGTTGCCGGTCCGGTACATGAATAGATTGGTTAGAAAGCAAGGTTTTAATTTTAATTAGATTGGAAAGCTTAATTCGAGGGTTGAAAATAGAGAGTACAAAAAAAGGGGGAGGGGAGGTGTTCCACAGGGAATATTTTTATCTTATCAACTCAACATTTGAAATGTTTATTATTTTTTTTATTTAATTAAAAAAAGAGAAAAACAAATGTAAGACAAATTGTCAATGGTCTTTCTTCCTTTCTCCCGTTACAGATAGAAAACTCAGGGTTAGAATTCATAGAACAGAAAAGGGGCAGTGGCAAATATTTCATCATGGTATATTTTGAACACAGAGAGAATTACCCCGTCATTCTTTGCAAAAAAAAACATTCTTTTTCTTATGTGTGCCTTTGGACTTCATGTTTTGAATTGTAGTTACACTTTCCATATTCGGTATTTATTCAAATGTAAGCTCTACGTGGTGAAAATCACGTGATGCAGGAATATAGTATCTTGGAGTTAGGCTATTTCTTTCTTTTCGGGCGGGGACTCCAAGCAAACAACATGCATGTGTATAACGGCACTGCAGATTTTCGTATTAAATAAAGAAAGTTGCCGGTCCGGTACATGAATAGATTGGTTAGAAAGCAAGGTTTTAATTTTAATTAGATTGGAAAGCTTAATTCGAGGGTTGAAAATAGAGAGTACAAAAAAAGGGGGAGGGGAGGTGTTCCACAGGGAATATTTTTATCTTATCAACTCAACATTTGAAATGTTTATTATTTTTTTTATTTAATTAAAAAAAGAGAAAAACAAATGTAAGACAAATTGTCAATGGTCTTTCTTCCTTTCTCCCGTTACAGATAGAAAACTCAGGGTTAGAATTCATAGAACAGAAAAGGGGCAGTGGCAAATATTTCATCATGGTATATTTTGAACACAGAGAGAATTACCCCGTCATTCTTTGCAAAAAAAAACATTCTTTTTCTTATGTGTGCCTTTGGACTTCATGTTTTGAATTGTAGTTACACTTTCCATATTCGGTATTTATTCAAATGTAAGCTCTACGTGGTGAAAATCACGTGATGCAGGAATATAGTATCTTGGAGTTAGGCTATTTCTTTCTTTTCGGGCGGGGACTCCAAGCAAACAACATGCATGTGTATAACGGCACTGCAGATTTTCGTATTAAATAAAGAAAGTTGCCGGTCCGGTACATGAATAGATTGGTTAGAAAGCAAGGTTTTAATTTTAATTAGATTGGAAAGCTTAATTCGAGGGTTGAAAATAGAGAGTACAAAAAAAGGGGGAGGGGAGGTGTTCCACAGGGAATATTTTTATCTTATCAACTCAACATTTGAAATGTTTATTATTTTTTTTATTTAATTAAAAAAAGAGAAAAACAAATGTAAGACAAATTGTGAATGGTCTTTCTTCCTTTCTCCCGTTACAGATAGAAAACTCAGGGTTAGAATTCATAGAACAGAAAAGGGGCAGTGGCAAATATTTCATCATGGTATATTTTGAACACAGAGAGAATTACCCCGTCATTCTTTGCAAAAAAAAACATTCTTTTTCTTATGTGTGCCTTTGGACTTCATGTTTTGAATTGTAGTTACACTTTCCATATTCGGTATTTATTCAAATGTAAGCTCTATGTGGTGAAAATCACGTGATGCAGGAATATAGTATCTTGGAGTTAGGCTATTTCTTTCTTTTCGGGCGGGGACTCCAAGCAAACAACATGCATGTGTATAACGGCACTGCAGATTTTCGTATTAAATAAAGAAAGTTGCCGGTCCGGTACAT